CTCTTTTTTCTTTCTTTCCTTTTCTTTTTTTTTTTCTTTTTTTCAAACGCGAGCCTCGATCGCCACGAAGCTGTCGTGGTTCGAGGCGGAGGATTGATGAAAAGTAAAAGTGCAGGCCGCGCCTCGAAACCGGGTCACTCAGGCTCTCCGCCGATAGACCAGACGCGTTACCATGAGAATCGGCAACGTTCGCGTTGTTACGTAATTCCGCGCGACGCGATGCATTTCCCACTTCTCGCGGATTCTCGCGTAGCGGCACAGCGGACTTCGAAGCTTTTCCAATTTTCGAAAGTCTGTGGAAGCTTCGCAGAATCTCTTGTCGTCGTTGTTTCTTCATCTTCGCGCGGCACGATTTTTTCCGCGGAATTTTCGATCGCATACATCGTTTCGTTAATTACGTATTCTGACAGTGGAAGTCTTATCAATTGAGGCATAAAATTGGAAAATGATTTGAAATCTCTAATGATACGCTGTTTCACGTGTAAAGAGCCGATTATTTTTTTACCGTTCCGGTAGTTTTAGTTAAACACACTTTTTGGAAGTTAATTGCTAGATTATTTGATAGATATTTATTTTCGGATTTATAATAATAACATCTGACAGTAACGACGCGAAAGTATAAAAAATACGGAGAAAAGGACACAAGAAAAGTCATTTTATATCGCTAACGACACGCTGTTTCACGTAGCGAAGTAACAGCCAATTATAAGTTGTTCGCTTTGACCATTCCGGTAGTTTATAAGTTATAGTTGAATACTTTTTCGAAAGTTAATTGGCAGATTATTTGGTAGATATTTATTCTCGGATTTGTAATAATATTTGACAGCGATAACGACGCGATGCACGATAATTTTAGTAGAGATTTTAATCATCTCGATGATTCTGCAGCTTGCCTTTTCTTTGCAAATTGAATCCGCGTACACGTTCCGATCTTTATTTTTTGACGTTTTTTGAAACCTTCGTTGCCAAAATCTCTGAAATCTGGTACAAGTAGCAAAGCCCTTGAAACGTGAGATTACATGTGCGCGGTGATAACATTCCTCGAGTTATTGGCAAAGTACTGCACGATTTACAAGGATTAATGAATCGAGAATGACGGTGGATGTTATTTTCTGTGGAGACGAAGCAGCGCAAACTTGTCTTTTAAAGAATTATAATATTAACGTTAGTTCATCGAACAACACGTTTCCATACACTTGGATGTATATACGTCTTCCATTTTATTTCCAACTTGGTTCTAGAGACTATAGAATATAAATCGGAACAAATGACTAATCTAGTTGCACGAGTGGATCGCTCAATGGACGGAGTGGTTGTGTATTTCAATATTTCGTCGTCGTGTCATTTCGAAAATTGCATTCGATTTTCGCGTAGGTGCATAACTTTCGCGTTACGCAAAAGCAACGCTTGCAGAATCGCGATGACGCAACGCGGGTCGCTCTATTAGCCTGGCATTCGCGAAAATTAATTCCGCGAAAGTGACGGAACTCGATGGGATTTCGAGCGAGTGAAATACGCGCCCTGATAAATTCCGATCACGACAGAATTCCTCCTTATCGCTTGCACTCGGGTTCGTTTCTCGATTTTCGAGTCATCCCGTTTGCAACGGCAACTCGTCCTGGAAACTCAAATTTCTCCAATTAAAACGTCGATGGTGGTCGTTGAACGGTGGAAATTGAATTTCTTCAATTTTCTATATTTTTACGCTTCTCCAATTTGCCTAGAAAATTGAAAACTCGAGCCGGTGCTTTTTTCTTTTCTTCTTTTTTTTTTCAATTAGCCTCTCTCTCTTTCTTTCTTTCACGCAGCTGCTGCTAAGCAATTAGCGATGATTCCGAAACCGGGGTTGGGAAAAACAGCGAAAACGGCACTCGCCGCAAATGAATAGAATAACGTTCGAAGGAAACGTGCCGCGAAACACCGCTCGACGGCCGAAACGGGAGGTGTATATTTCAACATGACGCAGATAAAACGGGGAACAACCTGTTAGGTTCGGAAACGTAAGCTAATTTTAAAAATAGACGGTGCGCGGGGTCTCGCGAAAGGGGAAAGAGCCAATGGCGTGACAGACTCGCCCCGTGACAATCGATGTTTTCGAAACGGAACGACGGGTTAGTAAAAATAGTTTCGCAAAGGCGAAAGCAAATAAAGAAGAAAAAAAAAAAAAAGAAAAAAGAGAGAATATTAACATTTGGGAGTCCCTTTTTTTTCTTCGTGGCCCTCGAAACTCGTAGAAATGCGGCTTGTCGCGTTTCCCTGTTCGCCTGTTGGTCATCAAACAATGGTCACACATTCCAACGCGATTTGAATCGAGCTCGCGGAAAGCCCAAGGATCCAAACCCCCCCCCCCTCCCTCCTGTGAAAGGGGGAGGAGGGGGCTGGATAAATTTCGATAGTCCTCGAGTGATCGTGGGCGTGCTTGACCTTAACACTGATTGGTCGATACCTTAAAATAGCCCGTCAGACCGGGCATCTGATAACGCCCGGTTTATTTATAAATCTGACTCAACATATTCAGCGCGCTCTCGCCCGACTGCACCTCTCGGCCATGGAATTTCGCCTGTTCCGTTTCCACCGCTGTTCCTCATTGTCCGCCGTAATCGAGTCCCTGGGACCGCCGGGGTGCCGGAACATTTTTATTGATTTATCGACTCGTCCATAACCACAAAACGAAACGAGACAGATAGGCAGATAACGAAACGCGAAATAAAGCGGTAGGAAAGGGAGAAACA